GATGTTATTAAAGCCATCACCTTAGCTTCATGAAAAATGTGCATATATGTACATTTTACAGCTAAAGAGTGTGTTTGTTTTTCCAGTGACAACAACAGCCATTAAATAGCTCAGGAGATTCAAAAAGAGATGAAGCCTGAATGTCCTAGATAAATGTAAAGCTATGCCGAATGTGCGTTGCCTGGTTTTTCATCCGTTTGGCCTCTTCTTTCATCTCTTCTCACATCAATACATCCATTCATTCCATTTTTCCATTGTGTGACCTGTGTGTAATCACAGCATCAAAGGACTTTCTTTTTAGTACTAAAGGTTTGATCGAGACTTTCTCTTTTTTCCTGGATGAGGTATTAATCTCCATCTGGAAAACCATCTATTATATGTGTATAATGCTTAAGTACGGCAGAATAGCAGCACAAAAGCGACAAGAGGAAGAGTAAAAGCATAGTGTGAGCTGCTAAACCGGGGGAGTCACGTGACGCATAGCTACCAATGGCATTGCACCCATGCATTGTCTATGGACAAATATAAATGTCGATTATAAAAAAAACCATAACAGATATCAAGATGATTTTTGCACCATTAGTAGCTGAACGTCTCACGAGTTGAATAAAGTTGAAATGGCGCATACGCATCCACACAATAATAATAAAGAACTGGATAACATAGTGTGGATGCATACGCATCCACACAATAAAGAACTGCATAACATAGTCCACACAATAAAGAACTTAAAAAGTATAAAAGTTATAAAAAAGTTGTGTACAAGCACACATGTCCTTAAGGAGATACACAGTTTGATACCTCAATGGCCCTTCTAGGTGAAAGTATGCTGCACCAATTAGATGCCGACGAACAGTGGTAGAACCAGAATAATAAAGAACTGCATAACATGCAGAATGGGACAGCCTCATTGCATCCACACAATAATAAAGAACTGCATAACATAGTGTGGATGCGTATGCATCCACACAATAAATAATTGGATAACATAGTATGGATGCTGAGTCAGCATCCATACAATTAAAACAGAAAAATGCTTTGTTTTCAATTCTTTGTGAGGAGAAACATCTATTAGTATTTTAATTAACAAAACACATTTTATATTATTATTGATCTATTGAACCTGTATGAGACCATCAGTGAGCAGCAGACTGCACAACCTGATGCATTCTTCATTGTATTGGGACTTGAAAACAGTCCTGCCAAAGTTCTACCAACACATCCACTTTGCAACCAAAGGGAAGAACACACTGGACAATTCCTACACAGATACAAAGGAGGAATACAAGGCATCCCTCTTCTGTCATTCTAGCTCTTCTGATCATGTTTCTATCATGCATATGGATCCCGGCTGAAACTGGTCAAACCAGTCATGAAACAAATTTGAGTGTAGCCAGAGGGGAGTATAGCAGCTCTACACGACTGCCTGGAAACCATAGAGTGCTATGTCTTTAGAGATGCAGCTGCCTATTACCAACATACCCTGGGAGGAGCTCAGGGTAGAACCGCTGCTCCTCCACATTGAGAGGAGCCAGCTGAGGTGGCTCGGGCATCTGTTTCGGATACCTCCTTCCTAGGGAGGTGTTCCGGGCATGTCCCAACAGAAGGAGGCCCCGGGGAAGACCCAGAACACGCTGGAGGGACTATGTCTCTCGGCTGGCCTGGGAATGCCTCGAGTAGCTGGAGGAAGTGTCTGGAGAGAGGGAAGTCTTGGCATCTTTGCTTAGACTGCTGCCCCCACAACCCGGTTCCGGATAAGTGGAGGAAAATGGTTGGATGGACCACTGCTCTTACCAAAAAAGCTCAGCAATGCCTTTACTTTCTGCGGAGACTGAAAAAATCAAACACCAACCCCCCCACCCCCATCATGACAACATTCTACAGAGGAACTATAGAGAGTATCCTAACACAATGCATGACTGTCTGGTACTAACTGATCCCTCTCACTGCTCACATCACCTCTGTTATCATGTCATCTGCAAGGGGGGCTCTGGAGTATTCGGGCAAGATCCACTAGATTGGGTAACAGCTTTTTTCCACAGGTTATCAGAACTCTAAACACATTTCAAATGTTGCTCCCTATTCCCCCTCTTTTTCTAGGCTACCCTCATAAGAGGTTATCACCTTTTTTAGGCAATGTTGCTCTCTTCATGCAATGTTTTTTAAATTGTGTCTGTTTGCTGTTGCTGTGCCTGTGATATTTAAATGTTAAACATACTGATTGATGGAGAACAATATTTCACTCCCATGTATGCTGAGAGTGTACTATAGAAGTGACAATAAACCTGATTGATTGAACTCAATAAGGGTGTGGAAACTGAGAGGTTTGAGGGGGCAGTAATGGAAGAGTGGGTGAGAAACAGTAGGGCTTTGGTATAATTTATGGTCTGTGGTGTGCCAGTGCTGGACCAGGCACTGTCGAGGGCACTGTCGAGCCCTCATGAGGCACAAAAACTGGTCCATGTGTATTTACTGGTCTGCAATGCAGGGGCTGGAATTATGGGTGGAGATCATAAACTGTAAATCTGACTTCAAAAGTGAATTTAAAATATTGTGAATACTGCAGCTGCCATCTTGCTTTTTTGATACACTTTGCAACCAGATTCTGAGCAGTAGTGACGAGCTGTGGAGTGACAGCACCTGACTGCCAAGCTGTCATATCATCTGAAATATACCAAATACTGTAAATTTCAGGGGCTGAGGCTAATGCATGTTATTATAGTCCAAATTATGTTGATTGCTTGCTTAGTGAAAGAGGAATGGTGAAAAGAAAGAGGAAAGGAAGTTACTGAAATTATGAGAGCTCTCTATCTTTCAGTCATCAGTATTTATAGTAAATAGTATTTCTGTACATTATCATAAACTTTTGTGGAAAATAAGGATGAAAATGCAAAAACTCAAATTTCTTCTTTTTCTGCTATTGTGCTCACTCTATGTGTTCACTTAACTACTAGTCAAATATCTGCTGTGTGAGTCACTGAAACACTAATGCAACATCATAAGTCTTGTCCACTAAATTACTGAATTTCATTAGATTTATGGCTGTAGCTAAGGGAGCTCATAGTTACGTATCGTTCCTCTGGATTGGTGGACCCAAAGGAGTCTTGGTACGGTAAGGCTCCAAGTTTATTAAAATAGATTAGACGTAGATGAGAGAGCTTCAAAGGGAGAACAGTTATGCACACACACACCCAGGTAAAACAGTTTTAATTAAGTGAAAACAAAGGAAGACGTGAGTGTGTATGTAGGAATTAAAGTAGTACAGGTATTCCTCCTTTCTAGGGCGCTGTCCACGATGATTGGAGCAGAGAGGACGGACGGACTGAAGGATCAATAACGGGAGAGTTAAGTCTAAACCACGGCTCCTCCCCAACTGTTTTGGACCAATTAGATAGTAGTACCTTTTCATACAAATATTGTTACCCACTAAGTTGAAGTCAGTCTTTCTTGTTTATCCTAAACAGATAGGCTCCATGTGCACATGTTAATTTTGATACGTTAATGCATAATAAATTTCATATTGAGAAATATATATTCTCTTATTAGTCTTCTCTTTCAATATAAACGAACTGGCTCCACATTGTCCATCTGCAAATTCTGTAGTTTCAGGTGTCAATAGAAAAATAAATAAACATTCATATTGAAACCTTTATGTGAAACATTTTGATCAAAGGTTTTATTGCATTAAAAATTTAATCTTTTTATATAGTATATTTGACCATTTTCAGAGTATAGTGTATGATAGAAGATGATAATGCTAAACAACAATTCATACACAAATATCTTCACTGCCTGAAAGCCACTTATAGACAAAGATAGGAGAATTATTCAGGAGAGATTTTCTCTGTATCAATGATTATTTCTCTTTGCAATAATTGGGCATTTCAGAAAATGAAAATGCACAGAAATGCATTTCAAGCTCACAGACAGAATCATATCATAGACATACTGTATATACATAGGGTTAAAGTCTTTGTCCTCCAAATATTTCAGCTTCATCTCCAAATCCAAAGTGCTGCGATGAATCAGGTGCCACCCTTTTAGCCTTCCTGTCAACGTTTTGAGGTTTGGGATCAGGGATCCTGAAGAACGCCCCCTTTACTGGGCCAGTCTTGTCTAGGCTTTCCTTTTTCTTTCTTTCATTTTGCTTTGAGAAGTATTGTCTCATATTTTGTATTATTTGGTCATTTGTCTCTTCAAGCCTGCAAAGATAATAGAGTAAACCAGCAGTCATAGATGGTCCAAGAGAAATGCCCTTAAACTGTAAACATTTATTTACAGTTAAGTTATTTAGTATTATTGAGCTTTTGGTGCACCCTTAGTTATCCTGTGTCATGCAGATACAGCATGTTAATAGGAATGGCTCAGCATTTTGGGAGATGCAGTGATTTGTTTACACTGAAACATGTTTATGTACTGACCACAACCTATGTAGCCTTCAGAGCGATACAGCTACAAGTCATGTTGCACTTTGAATAAGACATACAGCTCTCACTCTCTTACTGATACTGGGCTACTGTTATCTTTTCACCCAGGTACACACACAGACTACAAAAGTTAGTCACAATGTGGGAGAGTGATAATATTTGCAGAGAGTGAGAGTTGTACTTCTTACTGGACAACATGAACATTGTGCCGTATATTTATTTGAAGCTTCACTGCAGGACTTTCATACCTGAAATACCAGGTGTCCTTCAGGCCGTATTTTAGTCCACATTCCCCAAGACGAGGCCACAGACAGCGCGGCAGCTTCCTTTCCAGCATTAAAATTGTAGACACCACCTGCACAACATCCAAATAGCTCTTACTATGACACAGAAATGCACAGGGACATGACAAAGTGTTTCTGCCCATTTATATTTACAGTCAGGTTCATAAATATTTGAAGGATGCAATTTTTGTCATTTTGCCTCTGTACACCACCACAATGGATACATAGCGTGACAGCAACCAAAGAGCTTCTCAAGTCAAAGAAAAGGAATATTCTTCAATGGTTGGGTCAATCACCTGACCTCAACCCAACTGAGCATGCTTTTCACTTACTGAAGACAAACCTAAAGACAGAAAGACCTACAAAAAAGCATCAAGTGAAGGCAGCTGGAGTAAAGGCCTGGCAAAGCAGCTTAAAGGAGGAATTTCAGCATCTGATGATGTCCATGGGTTCCAGACTTCAGGCAGTCATTGACTGCAAAAGATTTACATCCAAATATTAAAAATAATTTTATATATCTTTATGTTAGTATATCCAATTACTTTTGAGCTTCTGAAAATGGGGGACTATGTATAAAGATGGCTGTAATTCCTAAATGGGGTAGCACAATGTTTTTGTGAAACCCCTTAAATTAAAGCTGAATATATACACTTTTAAAATATATTGACTTCTTCATTTCAAGTTCATTGTGGTGGTGTACAGAGGCAAAGTTACTTATGAGCCTGATTATGTGTCTGTAAATGAATCCTATTTAAAGTGTGATATGTGTTACCTGAATTTTCCAAAGCAGATCTTTGTCCTGCGACACATCCCACTCTGTATCAGTCATTATGGCTATCAGTAGATTTACAAAAAGGACGCCAGCGATTATTGAGAAGACAACGAGTAACACAAAAGCCATGGGTGGTGTATAGATGGTGGGGTCCCAAAGAATATTCAGCATGCTCAAACAATACTCATACTCAGTGTAAAGAATAATGGGGAAGTTGACAAACGTAGGCATAGCAGCAGGGTCCTGGGTCATATACACTATCCATATGCCTGAGAAGGAAATCAGAAAAAAGGACAAGATCCACATTGCTAAAATTTCTTAATTCAAACATATCTTAGCTAAGAAGCTTTGTGAGTGTTAAAGGTTTGCTAGGTGTGGTTCCACAGACTATACTTACCACTGGCAAAAGCAAGTGAGGAAATTAACTCCTGCCACATAAAACTTCCAAGGTCTATATAATATCTGCTATACTTTAAATTATTTTTATTTCAGGATCAAAGCATATCAATAAACATTAGTGTAAATATGTCAGTGTTAGCCAAAAAACCTAATTTTCAAAGGTTGTCCCTCGACCAGGTGTTAAAAAGCTATAAAAACAACAATATGATACAAAATGAATTAGACGAATTAACCATAAAACCTGAAAATGCAGGTAAATACTGTGAAATGTAAAAGTTTTGTAAAGCGTGATCTTAGAAGCTTTATGAGTGTTCAAGGTTTGCTAAGACTGGTTCCACAAACTATACTTACCGCTGGAAAAAGCAATTGTGAGAATGAACAACTGCAACATAAACGTCCCCAGATCTTCAAGTATAATCTATGGACAAATGAGACACAAGGTGCAGTCTGAAAACAGCAATAAATTAACAGGAATGTAAACAAGAAATGAACACATCTGCTTCCAAAACATTTAATTACAAGTTCATTTGGAACAAGGCGGATTTCCCACTTTACTAATGAACTCTTGTCTGTGTCCAGGCTGAGCTGTCTCCTACCTTCTGTACCATGATGACATGAGGACCAATCAGTTGAAATCCTCGAGAGAAGAACATGACATTGCACCAGCAGAAAACCAAACACACTGCCATCACATCGCCTTCTCGTTGCACATCACAGACTCTGAACACCAGCAGCAACAGTACCGAACATGCGAAGGTGATACTGATCACAACAGCAACAGAAAAGTCAGAAGGGTTTTCAACACAGCAGGCTTCATTTTACTGCTCAGAGGAGTTTGTACTTACAGGATGACATGGAAGGGGCCTCCCAGTGCACTCAGGCCAAAATAACGCTTTACTCCAAATCTCACTATATCGGGGGCCTGTTGGAAAACAGGACAAGGCAGGATGTGTATGTGCAGTACAGTGTAATATAGGATACAGCATGTATGAAGAAGAAGAAGAAGCACGTTTCATAAGTACACCTCAAGCAACAAAATGGCAACAGCTCCCAGGAGGCTGACGATCTCGCCTGCCAGTCGCACTTTGTCCTGAGGTGTCACATAACTTTCCTGAAACATGGGAAAAAGAGAACGTTTTTAATTAATAAGTTTTATATCATCTACTGTATTTCATAAGGACTTTTTAAAAGTAGCAAAACAGTAACAAGAAATGACATCTCTGCCACCATTGCTAGTTTAAGGAAAAATGTCTTGTGGGGATCTTTTAATTAATTAAAAATTGCAATGCCACAGTATAAAAGTATGAATGCTACATTATAAATAAAAGTCCTATATTGAACTTCAACATAACATGTGTGCTAGGTGTAAGCGCAAGTTGATAGAAATGGGGCTCATTTTAAATGCTGTTATCTACAATAGTTCTTTATTATATTTAGATATAATTTATCATATTTTAAAATGTATATGTTTTACATGTTGCTAAAAGCTGAATCTGTAAAGTAACTAGTAATTATAGATGTCAGATAATAAAGCGTAGCATATAAAAGAAGCAAAGCACAAATATCTCAGAACTGATAAATATAGTACTAGATTAAGCATGTAGTGGTTAAAAACAAACAAGGCACCAGTCCAGAGGCAATATGTAATAGAACAGTATGTAGTTCATATATAGATATTATTTGTAATAGTTATGTAAGGGTGAGCTAAGTGTTTACGTAAGCTTGATCTGTTTCTCTTCTCTTGCTCAAGCAAGAATATCTTGGGCTGTGTCCCCCTTGTTTAATTTATGGGTAAACATCCAGAGCGACTTCCTCCTTAAATGGGGAAGGGACAT